TCCAGATCGTAAACATCACTCAGGTGCAATCTTTATGGCTCTGTGCAGTAGGTCAAGCCTGAGTGCATATACAAGGTGACCCATTTTAATCTACAAATGCAGCCACCTCCGGAGTTATTCGTTACTCGAAAAGTGTTTCCAAGAATTAACAGAAAATCTCTATACTAGCAACAATTTCTATATCGATAAAAAGTAAAATAAAATTTATCATCGAGTTAGAACAGATTTGAGTTGAAACATCCGAAACAGGGACGTTGTCGAGGTTGGTTTACAGTAGCCGTAGTATACGGTTAGGTAGAGGAAAATGTTCAGACGTTCGAGTCGTGTCTCCGCATCGAAACGGTGTGTTTGAGCGCTCAAGAAGACACGCTTGGGAGTTAAAAGTGTGTTTCCGTGACTCGAAGTGTCTAACAGGCGTAGCAGAGCGTCTGTGTACACCTACAGAGGCAGGGATTCTTTGTCTTCCGCGCACTCCAAAAATCCGTTCAGCCCGTCGGGAAAAGGGGCGGAGGGGTTGTTCTCGCCAGAGTACTCATCGATGTTCCGGTTCGTCCTGAAACCACCCCCCTAACCGCAGCCCGCCGGTCGTGGGGGGGCGGGTCGACTTCTGGTATAAATAATTCCGGAGCGACATCGACGATCCCCGGATAAATAATTAGCCGAACGTAAAGGGAATTCGTCGTTCCCGAGATTTTCTTCTCCTTGGCGACGCCACCCTCACCTTCGCCCTCCCTCGGACCTGTCCCACGGTGAATTTCACCCTCGGGATATTTCTCTCCCTCGTCACGTCCAGCGAGCTGCGCAACGCAGTGTCGTGTCTTTGTGCACCTCGCCATTTCACCCCCCCCCAGCCCCCCACATCCACCCCTCCCCGACCAGTCCACCCGTTCTTTTTCGTCCCTTTTTTTTTTTGTGTTTGCAGACCTCCGGACTCGTTCTCGTCCTGTATCCTCTCCTCGTACCCTCTTCATCCCCGTCTCTCGTTGGCGACTTTTCCTCTTCCGGTTCTCCTCGCGGGGTTCCCGAGGTCGAAGGAAAATTTACCCTCTGCAAGGTCCGCCCAGGGCCTGGCGTTCGCGAAATATGCCAAGCCACCCCTCCGCCCCTCCTGTGCAACCCTTTTTCTAGTGGCGCCCTCTTCGAACGCCCGGTATTTACGTCCTGCTGCGCCGCGGGCCATCTTCTTTCCCGGGGACGCTGGAATGAAAGGAAAGTCTCCCTCTCGTGCATTCTTCGTGTAACGAATCCCGGTGGGAGTTATTTGAAACAGGCTTGAAAATAACGCTGACCAGTGTTTTACAAAAGACACTGTTCCAAGTGCATTCTCAGTTTTGCTCGTGTGCTTTAATAAACGAACGAAATAAATAAATCGTTTAAAACGGGGCGCCGTGGATGTCGAGTCAGGAATTGAAATTCTCTTCAAATTAAAATATTTTACAAGAAATAATCCCCCCAAAGGGCGAGGGAAATAAGATAAGATTTTAAATTCTACAAAGTTTGTAGGGATATAAAAATTTCAACTACAGTGCGATGCAGAATAGGAAACGCTGGTAGGATTCTGTCCCTCCCCACGGCGTCAGCAACGGTTATTACACACGTCTGTAGCTCCGCGGGAAAGCGAGTTTCTTTGACGTTAAAATGCAGTACAAAACGATAACGTAGTCGCGAAGGAAATTGCTCTCCTTTCGCAGTCTATTTATCGGAGGGTAAATAAGTCACGGGCGCTTTGGATTTTCGTGGCGGGAATTACCTCGCTCGGGGGATGCTTGTCGATGAAACGTCTCGAAGAAGAGCAGTCGCAATTGGAGTCACGACGATCTTCCTGTTTCGCGCCAAAACGTATCGCGAACACTCCCTCGTTTGGCTTCTTGTAACTAGCGATTAGAAAATCATAGAACTAGGAAATCTAGAAAATTGGGAAACTGGAATATTCGATTTTTAAGGGCCTGGAAAATTAAGAGATTAGAAGATTAGAAAGTTAGATACCTGGAAAATTTGATAATTAGTAATTTAGGAAATTAGGAAAATAGAAAGTTCAGAAATTAGAAAGTTGGAAAGCAATGAGTCTAGGCGATCAGAAAACCAGGAAAAGAGTCTGAAGCAAATAAACAGTAGAATCTTAAGAGCTGGGATCTGAAAAAATTTCATAACTCGAAAGGTTTGTAAAATACTACCCTATGAGCACCGTTTTTCCAAGCTTTATTGGGATCTGAAGATAAACCGTGTAATATCTTGAAAGAAAGGGGGAGCGAGCGTCCACTAAAAAAGTATACATTATTTTCTCTTTGCACGTACCCAAAGAAAACATAAATTCGTGTCTTTATTCCCCCATTTTATATGTTTAGTTTACTATTAGAACCAAGTGGGTGTTATTCGAGTGTTTGAATTTTTCGAAATACCAAAAACACGAGAAAATCGAATAACTAATAACTCGTTCGTTTTCTCAAATCATTTCAGAGACAATGTTTACTCGATTTTAGTTTCGCGAGGAAAAATCTGTTTTAAAGAAACTTACGTTCCATGCAAAGCAAACAGCCATATATTTCTGCGAAGCATAGGAAAGACAGAGGACACGTGTTACGTGATTTAAAAGGTGGTTCGAAGCATGTCTGCTCGCAGCTACACATCCTGCCTAAGGGCTCATGTTCCTATAACACGGTACTGATCCTCTTAAAGCTAAGACTACAAGGCGCTTCTGGCTGAATTTATTTAGTCAGAGATCGGATCGCGTAGCGATATCAGGATTCACTGATTTTCACTTAACATCGTGTATGGTTCGGATATATCTAATCGCTACTAATTCTATTTATTGATCGACATCTACATTTGAATAACTTATACATCAGACGTATCAGTTTCTGTCCAGTGAGATACGATGAAAGGAATCCCTCTTCGGCTGGTGCGTTGATAATTCATATTTGATCAACGGGATCAACATCTGAAGGATTTGTGACTCGATAGATCGAATTTCATTAGGGTCTGAAACATTTAGACTCTGGCTATTTCACTATCGATAATTAGGTGAAAGCTGAGAGACTCGAAGATAACCCGATCAGTTCTAAACCAGTGAATTGGTTAATCAATATTTCAAGCTATCAAACATCAGCTTTGTTTTCGTTCAATCAGAGCACTCAACCGAACAGTATTGAATCGCTATATCAGTTATCCAAAGAAACGCTCAGACATTAGCTAAATTGTTATTTATTCGACTAAAAAAACGACCTTGGAAGCAATATTTGTTTTCAGACATCCACTAACAATTGTTCCTTATCTTCGTCAGCAATAGAGACGTTCATTGAGCCAGTCTGTGCAAAACTAATTCCAAAGACACGTATCGTTTACGAAAATCATCCTCTAAAGATGGCGGTCGACGGTAACAGCATCGTTGAAACGCAGTTTCCGCTTCTATCTCGCTCTTCTGTAGCTACTTCCGACGTTCAAGTTCAATTAAACGGCGTAACGAAATTAGAGAGGCAGCGACGGACGTTCGTAATTCAGATTAAGACCTCTCGTTTTCCACGTTTCCAGCGGGAGTTGCCTCGAACTCGGTTTGTCTCGCAAAAGGGGTAGTGTTTACTTGGAAAGAACCGAGAAAGAAGAGCCCGGTGGACGCTCCTGGGCGTCGTAAACAGTGTGTTTAAAGTTCGACGCGAAGCACTTAGCCGAAACGCATGCCGGAGGCTGGCGGACGTCGATTCCCTGGAATTTAAGCGACGGGCTTCCGGAAACCTTCGCGCCTTTTCCGCTTGAAGAACTAAAAGGGGATTCCCCATTAAATATATTGTTTAGGTAACTTTGACATTTTTTTTCTCGGAAAGTGTATGGAGTACGCGCTTGAAATTTTCTAGATGCATTTATTGACCCCCGAACGTACTGCATGAATTTTATGAACGCGTTGTCGTAAAGCGTTTATAAGAAATAAAGTGGCTCGTAAAACTGCAGATACGGATTACTTTTATCGGTATTTATGTTGATTCTACAATATTTATATATGTCGGTTATTTGTATCCGTCCGTTTGAAATGTCCCCTTATAAATAAACCCCACGTCCATAATTAGAACTGTAAATAATACGACGGTCTCTCCCCGATGGAAAGAAACATTTCTCCGTCAGAGCAAAAGTTAATCTTTAATAAGAATTTTCATAATATATTTATTCAGCATCCAACCCATTATACGCATTTAAATTCGTAACGAAATCGGCGAATATTTAAAGCTCCTATTTATCCTTATTCTCGCCAAATTTCACAAGTCGCGGTACGTGTATATGAATGGCATAAATCGTGCAAAATTTGTGAAAAGAAATCATTTGCATAGCAGGTGGAAAAGGTTTACGTAACGGGTCGTATATTTGTAATAAATCGCCGCGTTTTAAATCCGCGAAAGCGCGAGGAAATATTGTCCATCGATCGCCTCGAAGTTCGCGGATAAAAAGGGAAGTTTGGAATAAGAGAAAGAAATACGCGGCAGGTTCCATGTTTAAATTGCTTTAATGCCGTCTAATTAAGTATTCCGACGGAGACGTTCAACGATGAAAGTATTCCGCGACGGAATTATTTTTAACCATACTTAAGGAGATTTCCTCGAGTCTCTGGGGAAGAATAGGCAATATTTGGTTTTCCTTTTGGTGAAAAGTATGCAACACTTTGAACTGAAAATTGTTGCGCTAATTAATATACTTACGAAGGTATTACGCGAATTTTTTACGGAATTTGTTATAATAATGATCAGAAGCTCAATTTCAAATGAAGATTTCCTCTTCCATGGAGTCTCTTTTCGAAAAACATTATTATCGATATTGTAACACTTATCCATTCAAGTTCTTGCGTTAGAAAGAGTTAAAGTTGGTTGTACTTTGCTGAGAATCTGAGAAGTTTCGTAGAAATCGACATACGGTTCCTGGCTATCATCGAAGTTTCCTGTATTCGCAGCACACATGAAACGTTGACAACGAGGTACCTGTGGCTGTTCCACGATAACGGCCCTTTGTTTCTGTTTCAGAGGAGGTGTTCGGCTCGAACAAGGCATTATGGTTCTCGCCGAGCGGCACTAAGCTGGCCTTCGGTTACTTCGACGACACCCACACACCGATCATAACGATACCGTTTTACGGCTATCCTGGAAGTGTGACGTTCCAATACACGTCCGCGATCTGGATCCATTATCCCAAGGTAAGCGTTCCCCGAAATCGATGAAATAGTAGAACATATATCAGAAAAACCTGAAAACTGCAAGAGGAAACCATCGTTATCCATGGATCGATCTTTCTCAAACTCTACAGAAGTCTTCAGATGGGAATATAAAACTTAAATATTAAGTTTGGTTGCAATCCATTCAACCGTTCAGACGCAATCGTGCCGAGAGTGTCGTGTATCGCGGGTGTAACGTTTGCGCACGCGTCAGTAGCGCGTACGATCTGCGCGGCGTCCTTTCGCTTTAAATTCCGTGGTCAGCGCGCTGCGGCTCCCAGTCGCGTGGTTGCTGCGCGCTTCACCGCGTCTAATGATGGTGTTAATCCTTTCGTAGCTGCGTTGAGTCGAAACTTACGTAATAAATACTTAACAATAATATAAAAATTTCCATCGATATTGTCTTCGTACAGTCGTAATTTATTCGACACAAGATCCAATTTGTTTCATCGCCAGCTACGACAAAAAATCGATCCCCCGTCGCCTGCCAAAAGAAACTATGTGAAACGCAAATCGCTGGACACTGGTGTTCGCGAAACAATGACCGCAAAAAGAGATTAATATTCTCTCCGTCGACACGTGTCACGGTGCGAAATTGCACGTAAAAACTTCAAATTTGGCAAACGTCTGGCAGGCGGAGTCGTTTGCCTTCGGCAAGCGTCCCGCGGCCACTTTCGCGAAGCTATTTCGTGGGAAGAGAAAAAAATTAATATCGCCCACTCGTGTTACCCATATGTTTCACGCTGGCCAGAAACGCTCTCCCCTGTCTCCTCCGCGGTCTGCACGCGAAACTGTCGGGATAACTGGAAACAGTCTGTCCATTTGACGCTTTGAAACGCCGTCGTTTCGTTCTTTTCGTAACAAAGTTTGCAGAGCCGGTTTTCGGGACGCGTAATTTAAATAGGGGCCTGTAGGCGAGATACGTGACAAGCTTTGGGTACTGGAACAAAAATTACGCCGGCGCCACTTAGAAGTTATTTAATCCCGCCAGCGAGAACTTTTCATTACAACTTCAACAATTCCCCCACCCCGCGGTTTAACTTACACAATTTAACTTACACAATCGTCCAGTCGTGTGTTAGGCGCCTCATTCCGTTATTAAAACTCTATGACCTGTACACCGTTGCTGGACCCAACGCTTTTTATAGGCGACATTTTGAAAACTCGTAATATGCATGGAGGATGGTTGTTACGACTATCACGTTCATTTTTAATGATCCGTACATAGAGACCGGCTTGAAATAAAATTTTCAAATAGTAAATTTTATGATTGAATATTACTGCACATTAATCTTGTCAAAATAAATTAATCACTCCGTCTCGTGTGAAAATCGTCTCCTAAATCCTGTTTAGGGCCTCTACTCTGGATTGTATTAATTGCTGAAGGTCGTTGGGCGTGGCTATCCCCACCCACGTCGTTCCAACGCCCCCGCCATGGCCCGCTACTAATAACGCGGCGGAATTTGACAGGAATTCCGTTTTGGTACGTAACGTAGACGCATTTTCAAGTTCCATTGTTAACCGAAAGTCCACGAAACCTCCTCCCGGTGGCCTCCTTTGTGGACGAAACTCGCGTTTCCTAATGCGGGGTACGAAGTTAGGAAAAAGGCTGGACGAGCGGCGTCAAAGGAAGCCAAAGTCGACGTGGAAAATGAACGCGACCGGTTCCCGGAGTTAACGTGGCTGACAGGAGGGTAAATGGAAAGTGCATCGGGGTTTCGAGTATGGCTGCGGAAAGAATTTAATGCGATGGGGCTAAGTAAATCTAGTGTGTCACGGGCGTTTATCCCGGCTGGGCGAGCCGTTGGCCAAGCGAAAAAAAAAGAAGAAGAATCAACGCAAATTGCTAGCACGGAGGCCGCAGGACCAGGACGACGACAACGTCCTGGGCAGTTTGTACTTTGTCCAATTTCTTCGCCTTCGACCGAGGAAATTCGTCCGCGAATGAGAAGAATCTCCGACTCGGCGGACACCTGGGGATGAGTAAAATTCCTCCCCCGGATAGAAATAAAGAGTAAATTTGTTTACTCGTCGCTCGTTATACAATAGTCCAAATTTCGATAATCAAATGATATATAGTATATTTCGCGACGAGTAAATATAAATTTCACCGTGCGATCGAATAAGCAGTAAATTATTCGGATTTCGAAAAACACGATGAAATATCGTCAAATGCTTCATTGCATTTCATTGGAAAACCGTGATTCGTGAATTTCAATTTCTGGTTAAATTTCACTCTGTAATGTAGTTTGCAAAGAGATTCGAAGGTTTTTTGTTTTTATATTACAATATAAAATTTTAAAACGTTCGAAATTAGTCTAACTGCTCTTCAGCGTTGCTATGGCGGTGGAAATTTGACGTGTTAGGTGGTATCGCGAGTGCATTGAATGGTAGGAACTTCATAAAATTATGATAATTATCGCAGCTTGACCGCAAATAATGTTGCCGCAGTTGATTGGCGTCCACGGTCGGTCTGGGAATAAGGAAAACGATAATTTAAATATCACCACGAATAGTATTGATTGTACGTTATTAGTAGCACCTCATTAGTTGTCGTCGCATTGGCAGTCCCGTGTTAATGTCAATATATTGATCTTCGGGTAGTTAGTGTACGAAACTGAATATGCATGGTTTAATTTCGCATTACCACGGCATTAATGTTACTATACATTAATGGTATCGATATTATAGTATTACTAAACTAACGTTAATCGAATCGATGGAATAATTATTAATTGCTTGCACCCAGGACGTAATAGTGAATAATCTTTTCAATATCCAACTTCCCGGTTGTCGCTAAACGATTCATTTAATTCTGATCGAATTTGTCGGTAAAAGAATCTTCAGAACTCTGAAATAAATAGTTTACGGAGTTCTGGAGCTCGGAATTCATTTGACGAAAACTGAATTGAAATTTATTAAGTGGATCTCGACCATGTACATTTTTGGTTGTTCCCCTTTAATGGGGTGACGTGGACATCGAGGTTAATATTTTCCTTTCGCGTTCGGTAGAGCCGCGAGCTGAAGTCGAGGACTCTTTGCCATTGGAAAGGACAGCACGCGCTCTTATCCCTCTTTTACAAAAATTGGTTCGACGTGTGAATTTCAACCCCGTTGTTCGATGATTGTGGTATCGATGAGGATTGTTGGTGATATCGAAGAGCGGATTATACCAGGGAAGAGTATAACTGGTAATCAAAGAGTGGATAGATGATAGAAGAACGACAAGAATGATGTTGACGATATGGTTTCAAAAAATATTACACGAATATGTTAAATTATTTTCATTCTCAAGAAATGCACCGAGTTTTATTTGTTCTACCAATCTCGAAATATGTTCCGAGTTGCATCTACTCTGAATAAAATACTGTTTGATAGATGTATCCCCTGGAATAGAGAACCTTTTGACTTTTATGGAAAATTGTGTCGCGAAAGGAAGACGATTTCTTGGACGAAAGAAATGCATCTGTGAAGCGAGCGCAAACTATTTTGGCCGCTCAAAGTTATTTAGTAGTCGACGCCATTATTCTCTCCAGCTAGGTCTATGTATTTAAACGGAATCGTGTATTTTAATATCAGAAATAGCACAGATTCCACTATACCATCGAGCTGCTCTGCCCTATCTGCCCTAATTATCTAAATAGAATTCACGTTAGGAATTCTCTAACAGATAAGAAACTAAAATGTGCGCAGAACACGCGTTTCAAGTGTGAGGAATACCTAAGAGATCTCACTACACTATCCAGTTACTCTGTCAATCTACCTCAACTATCTAAATAGAATCTTCTGCTGTGGAGATTTCCTTACAGATTTAGTAATTAAAGCAAGAGCTAAATATTATTACTATTGAAGTGACCTCGAGCAGCCAGAATATTTGACGTCGACCTTAGAAGATGCTTCGATTCAACAGAGATTTAAATTTATACTCTCATTAACTCGACCATTAAATCACTTGTTGTATATTTTTTAACGATAGCATATAAATTAAAAATGTGTGATAGTCGCATTGCAGAATGATGATGTGTTCGCTGGACATCTTTCACCCATCAACGCGTGCTCGCGAAAACTCATTTTCCTATGGTCAAAGTGGCTCGCTTTGATACTCGTCACGAATTCGAGATCTATGGAGCAAAGGTTCCATTTAAAGATCACAGAGGTTTCACGGTGAAATGGACAGAGAGAAAAAGGGAATCGAGGCGAGGTGGCGAAGGACCGGTCTGACGAACACGCAACGAGCGATCCGAGGTCCTGGGCGGTGTCGGGGGCGACAGAATTTCCGGTTTTCCCAATACAATGGCGAGGACACAGTTTCTCGTCAATACTTCCGCCATCTTTGCATTGGCGAACGTTACGTCACATTAGAACGGTCGAATATGATTCGGGAAATATTATTCTCTCTGCTCGTTTGTTCATTGTTGCTTTGTAAATGGTTGACGTTATTTTTCGATATAATATTCCAATGTATTAGTTTCTATTTGAATAATCAGTGGAAACGACATATATAATTACAAATTAATTATATCTTCAGTAGACGAAATTGTTTCAGAATTTCTATACCGTGAGATTAAATTATAGACATATGTGAAACCAGTGTTAGGTATATCTGATATTATATTTACGAATTATTCAATTTTATAAACCCGCCCTTGCAGCGATAGTAATATTAATAATATCGCCAAACTTGTGTACAATTTGTATTTCGAAATTGTATGAAAATTAATTACAAATGTCGCGTTTGTTATAAACTGCCATTCAGCATTCACAGATTACAATACCACGATTTAAATCGCTTAGGGGAAATCGTGGTTGTAAAAATTTCGTGCCAGGCTGAACCACGAATTGTAATAATTTAGGGAAATTTCATATTTCCGGGATTCAACGTTTTGATCGTAAATTTTTAAATCGCCATTCTGTCTGAGCATTTTACGTTCTCAAAAGTCACCGTCTGAAGCGTTCACGATTCCACGGTTTCGCGCTTTAAATATTTCAAAAACGTCGGTCTCGTTCGAGATCTTCCCCCATAATAAATTCCGAACGCATCGAGTCGTTTCACCCCGAACGTTCTACACGAGGTTCGATTTTTTTACGTGCCGCTGCTTTTTTCCAGTAGCGATGTGCATTTTTTTTTTTTCTCTTTTTATTTCTTTTTTTGCGCGCTATCCGATGTAAAGTATCCTCTTTTTACGAAAAGTTTCAGAACCATTTTTCTTCCAGCTTTTATTCCGCCATCGTTCCCTATACATTTTTCAACTCTCCAGTGCGTAGCCCTGTTGATTTGCGGTAAACCACAGTATGGTCCTCTGGAAGGGAAATATTGCTCTCTTAAAATCTCAATGAAACGAATTTCTTTGTTATTCACGAAAAAATGGCGAAATTCAAATCTCATAACCAATTCAAATAAGTCTTCTTTAAATAAATACAGATTTTAGGTTTTAGATTAGATAGTACTACAAAAGTACTGTACTTTCTTAGATTAACGACACCATATGTATAGCTCAACTTCTGTCATGTATAATCGACTCGTAACTGTGACCCACCGACGGGTCATCAACCGCTGCTGTCACCGAATCTTACTTTCGCTCGACCGAACTATACATTCGTTGAACTCTTAATGCGTCTGAACGACCGAATGAATTTCAATGAAACTTGGAATATGAGTTCCACATTCTCGTCTCAAGATTTGATTAAATTTTTAGCTGAATCGTTCCATGGATACCGATGTGTACCACTTGTGGTTTTTTGGTTTTCGAAAAGGTAAATGGTTCGTTCCTAACTGGACACCCAGTGTAGACCGCGATTACGTCACTGCTAAGTGAAACGTTTGTTCTGTCGTAGCGATATTAAAGAACGAAGGACATAAATTCTGCATTCCACAATTCAACTGCGTTCAGCGAACGCGGACGAGAATTTAATCAGAACGTCATATCAAAATTTAATTACTACCACGGTAATTAGTTCCGGTCTCCGCCGGAAATCTATCCGCGACTTGAGTTTAAAGAGAATGGGGCGGAGTGAGCACCAAAGCGGGCCTTTCCCCCCCCCGACAAACTAAGCGATTTTTCTATCGAATAGTTCCGCGCGATCGAGCAGCAGATATTTGTTTCGGGCACTCCGCACGGAGCGATACGAAGTTATTTTGGGAATCTTGGAACCCAGGGTTCATCGAAGTATCTCGAACATGTGCAAAACGTTGAGGGAACAGCTAATTAGCATTTCATGGAACTAGCTACGAATTAACGCGAAAAGCTACAAGATCAACCTGAAAATATCGACCATCTTCGCGGATAGAAAACTAAGCTTCGGAAAATTAATTTCCTCGACAGCGTTGGGAAAACACAGAAATTCCGAGGATAGAATTCGCCAGGTTATTGTTCGGGAATTTGCGAATTACTTGGGGGATAATGAGAGTGGAGTTGAAATTTAACGCGTTCCTGGTCGATCGAGAATCAGTCGTCGATTCGTTTTCGAATTTTATCGTCCGTCACGAGACGCAGCGAACGTTTCCTTATGGCTGAAACTTTACGAAAACGCGAGCAACGTCGAATTTTTCGAATCTCTCGGAGACGTAAATCCACGGTCGCGAATCCTTCCGCGTATTTGCGTTTCCACGAAACTTTTTCCCGCTCGAAAAATATTGTCAAAGGGGAACCAGGCGCGTTTACCGAATGTTCCGAGTTATAGACGAGCGGTGAGACGTTCCCCGCAGAGAGTAGCGGCTGAAAGCCACGCCGGGCGCCATTTGCGAATTCGTCTAATGGCGTCGCGCGAACGTAGGCGGGAAATACGAACGGATCGACGTTATTAATCAGGGTAACGACATCGATCGCTACTAACGTGGCCGCGCGTGCATTCTGTTTCAGAGCGGTACAACCAATCCCACGGTGAAGCTGTTCTACGTCGACTTAGAGAAGGTGGTCCGAGGTAACGCGAGCTTAACTGAAATCGAACATCCAGCCGAGTTATCCTCCACGGAGCGGATTTTATCTGCCGTCGCTTTTCCGACGGACAATCTCGTCTACGCGACCTGGATGAACCGAGTACAGAACAAGGCGTACTTCCATTTCTGTTACGTCGACGGCCCTGTACCGAATTGCACCTCCGTACGTATACCACCCCCACCTCCGAGAACTCTTTCCAAGAACCAACTAATTCCTAGCTTTGACAAGATGGCCCGATAAGTCTCGAGCCAAGGAGATTTTGGCGAGCCTGGCAGATTTTTTGCCCCCGACGACGAACGGGAACGGTTTTCGTTAAAATTTAAGAACCCCTTTATCGTCCCGTAAAACACGGGATTCTTCTTTAATTAGACGTCGAGTCGCCGAGAATTTTGCGGGGTGTTTAGTGTCCTCCAACCGTGGATATCTTTTCACGAGTTATTTTCTGCCGGAGTGACGCGGATTACGGGGATAATACTTATTCGAGACCGTCGCTTTTCCGGCGGCTTTCAGAGTTTCGCGTAAAAGATACCGCGAACGATAGTGGAATTTTAAATTTGGGGTTATTAATATTATTTCTCGAGATAGAGTTTCGGATGTAATATAAAACACAGCGGGGTAGCTAGAGATTTGAAACTTGGCGCGTCTCCGCAACGATGTTTCGGGGTGGGAATATCTCTCGTATTTAACGAGATATTAATTATTCCGTACAGCGTGTTAATTTGGATAGCGCAGAAGTTATTCTCAGTGTTCAACGCGACGACTTGTGGTCTTTCTAGAGTTAATAGAGCTTTTTTAATAGTTTTAATTGGCACGAGTATTTTGGGGTGAAAACTTTCAGCGGGGGATTCCGATTAAAAAAAACTTGTTTTTAAATCGAGCTGGAGGCCCGTATCAAAGCGTTCGCGTTCCCAAGTTGATACTGAAGTGGGCGTAAATAGTTCGAGGGCTCGAGGACCGAGCTTAAAAATTTTTTAATTTGACGGATTCCGGTTTCTATGTCGCGTAGATTCCCACAGTATGATACCCAAACACAAAATACTTCAGCTCGACGCGCGATAATCCCATTACGTGAGTGCTCTCTTCGCGATGAAGAGGACAATTATTATTCCCGAATAAAAATATTTTAATCTTACACTCGTACGTTTAAAATTAATCTAACATTTAGAAGATTATAACGGTTAAAAATTTTAATGGGGGATTCTAGAGGCCAAAATAAGACGAAAATCAAGAGTATCAATTTCTTGACTGAGGCTTCGTTAAAACGTTATTAAAAAATTAAATTACAAAATTTTAAATCGTTCTAAAAAAATTATTTTTAGTTGCAGGGGTCAATTACAATCATTTTTGGTCAATAGACATTCCCCCGAAATCTTACGTACTTTCGAGAAAAAAATTCCTTACCGATAATATAATGTCTGACCATACCATTGACACGTTTCCCTGAAATTTCATGCATATGTTTAATAAATCATAACTCCTGAACGGATTGGACGATCTTAATGTTTCAAAATATAAACAACGCGTATTTTGGTGAGGAATATGTAGAAATTTTAAAAATTTTGGAAAAATTGTTCCTTAACCTCGTAAAGTTATAAAAACCCCATAAAAGTAGGGCAATTTTCAAACGACCATAACTCCTACAATAGTGAATATATTTCAATGAAATTTTTTCCTGACGTAGAGCTCATGGGTACCTACAAAAAAGTATTGGACAACTTTTATGTAGAGCGTCAAAGATATTTGTTAAAAATCAAAAACGAATTTTTAAGGAAAATCGACAGGGTTAGGTGCTGAAACTTTTCGGCGAAAAAAAAAATTTCAAATCATTCTGAAAAAATTATTTTCGGTTGCAGGGGTCGATTACAATCATTTTTGGTGAATAGACATACCCCTGAAATCCTACGCATTTTCGAGAAAACAATTCAGTACGAGCGGAACTTTAAACGTTAATAACTTTTAAACGAAGCCTCCATCAACAAATTGGTATTCTTGATTTTCGTTCTATTTCGACTTCTAGAATCTTCCATTACAATTTTTCCCAGGGTTGTTTTTGATTCGTAAATTGAACGTTCAATTTTGGAATCACTCCAGTTCGTTTTACGAATCATCTACCGTAATCTTCCACCAAGCAGTCTGATTATAATTCCAAGCTGCTATACTCGTAATGTAATTCAAAATTTCGCTTTCCCGCTGTCCGAATTAGTCCCAGAAATGAAAGAGGGTGGTTTTTGGTCGAATTGGGCGAGCGGTGTCGAAGTAAAAATAGAAAGCACTTTATCGAACGCGAACGTAATGCTTCATAGACGGTGGATTCGTAGAGTCGGTCTCGCGCCGCGGCGTACAATTTTTCGCTGAGGAAGGATTACGTTCCCGGAGGGGCAGGGAATAAAATATTCATCTTTTTCAGGCGCCGCCTTACTTCGAGGAACACGGATGGGTCGAGCAGTTCGAGCCGCCGTTGTTCAGCGACGACGGGAACTCGTTCCTGACGATTCTGCCGCAAAGGCAGGAGAACGACAGCCACTGGAGGCATGTTGTCGCTATTACGAATGCATCCTCCGGCAGGGCGACCACCTCCGCGCTAACTTCCGGCCACTTCGTCGTAACGGAGATAGTTTCTTGGGATCAAGAGAATTCGTACCTGTAAGTACAATCGAAAATCCTCGACGGCTGCAAACAGCCGGACCGTTACGCCTCTTGTAAGTTCACTCTAAGCTGCCGGGCGATGCTCGAAAGTCACATTACGATAAGATGGGAGGGGATTCTGTACGTGGACGGTGGACCCGGACAAACTAGGGAGCTGTTAACGCGGTCTGTGATCGAGAAACTTTACTGTTCGCCCTTTCGGTACGCTCGAAATCCCTTCGGACAACGTAGCTGGGGGACAGCTGGCCTTTGGATCTGGATCAGAGATTAGCGTTTGATGTTCATAGGTGGACGCTCCAGGTGTATCTTGACTGGCTTACCAAGAATCCACTCTATCGTCTTGTTTTTAACTATTACAAATCAGATTTTTTGATAGTACAGTGGTTTAACCTTAAGGACCTTTTCGAGGAAGAGTCTTGAATTTGTTATGTATTATTTAAGAGTACTTTGAGGTATTAAAAGAATGAGAAATGGTTGTTAGATCATAAATCACCACACAACGCAATCTCTTATGCTTTAACGAATGGGCGCACCCAACCGCGGCCAACGTACCTGGAAGCATTATGAATCTGCCATTAATTGTGGCTCTCCAAATTAGCATTTCAGAGGGAATTTCGAACATTCGAGCCCTACTTCGGGCTTAGAGTCCTTAGGACATCCTAAATCGTGCGACTGTTGCCCACAATGGTGGACGTCCAAAGACTATTGTCACTGTCTCTCTGTCTAGAATTAAATCGAAGGTCTGTAAAAATAATTAAAAAATTTCTTATTCGTTGGAGAGTTCGGTATTTGTTTCGGGGGCACCGTGTACATAATAAAGACTCGTATCGACGGTCCGTGGAAGGAATTTCTCACGCTAGGAAGGGCGGGCCTTAAATCTTGGCGGCAATCGAGGAGCCGAGGCGTTCAAATATCGACATTAAGTACACGGACTTACCTACGTACTTTCCATTATTTCCCGATAAAATATGGCTCATAAGGAACGATATTACGCCAGGGGGACACGATATTGGAGATCCTCGTAAAGTCACGGGGCAACCGTCGCTACGGGAACGACGCCCGCCTAAAGAACGTTATCATTTATCACGTAAACGCACCGTTAGGCATTGATACTGTGCTCGACCCACCTAATTCAATCTCCGCGCCGTTAAAGAAGTTAAAATGAGATTCATCATATCGATTAAATTGCTCGATGAAATATCCTCGCTCCCCGCCATTGTATCTTGGGGGGGTTGATGCGGAAATTACTGATAAAATTCATTTTCCTACCCCATTCAATCCCCTATCTGCTCTTTATTTTAATTTTTCGGACGAATTTTTCTTTCCGCTTAACCTTCTATCAACCTTCCATCACCTTTAACGTTACCCAGTAACGAGAACATTGTTACGCTGTAAAATCCATTTCACTTCGTAATTGAACACTCGTGAACAATGTTTGAATATTTCCTGACGCTGCCTCGAGGAATCATTAGTCAGCGATTAATTGTCAAAGGACGGGCCGACAAAGGTGACTCTGTCAACGAAAGATGAATGATTATTGGAATTCTCTTTTCTCAAAGCCCGCAGCTCACTCCGTAATTCCATCGAAAGTTGTACTTAAACGAGCCAATATTTCCGCTGGCTAGTCGAACGAGAGTTGATTTTCCGCAAGACCTTTCCTCTTACCGCCTTTGTGCTTGATATCTGTTCGTGAAAACACTGGAAATCGCCTTAGGGGTTCTACCCTAACCCCCTCCGTCCCCCCCTACCCGCCCCACCTTCTTCGACAAAGCTGCAACAAAAATACGGGGGGAAAATCGTTCCTCGACTTTTCAAAGGAAAAAGTTAATAAGCAGCGATGCAAATAACGGGGTCGACCGTTTGCGACTAACGCGGCTTGGCTTCACAAAAGCGCGAATACCATTTCTGTTCAGCCTTTGCGATACTTTCCCGCATATTATTATGACGTTTTAATTAACATGTTAATTATTATCACCATTACAACGTTTTTATCACGGAATTACGAACCATAATTAAAATTAAAATACCGACGCGTTAAACTCCTTTGACTCAAATTTTTTTTTTTTTAGAACAAACTAACAAAGTTTTATTTCACGTGTAAAAGGAAGAGAGGGTGGGGGGAGGAAGAAAGGGGAAATCCATGTTATGTAATATTCAGGGTGTGGCAGGCGACATGACAGTAGCCACGATTTTCTAACCATTTCTGATAATTTGACGGACAATAGTTAATCAGTTGTTAGTTGAGCAAAAATTGTAACGTAGAGAATTTCCAAAAACATTACTTTTCGACAAGAACTCTTATATCTGTTCCGAACCGAAACCAATCCCGTAGAATTTCGAAAATACGGTTCGATAGCCGTGTTTAAAATAAAAATCGTAATCGATCGATCGCAGATCGTTTTCATACGAGGTCGAGATAGAGGTTGGAAAAATTCCCCTTTGGCGATCGCTCGAAATACGCTTTACAATGAAACGAATTTTCAATAACCGACGAGTGTACAGAGAGAATTCTGTCGGATTGACGATTTCAATAGATTTTTTTTTTTTTATATTTTTTTTTACATGGGAAATGATTTCTTCGCCGGGCGCAAAATGTATTGTGAACGTTTGAAATATGAACTCGTCCGACGATGTTAACGATTTTTACTGTACCTCGATTGCAATCTACAGTTTGCAATACAATTTCTATCAAATTTACCGATGGTAAATTGATCGCCTTGTGACGTTTCTAAGCGAGGGTCGATCGTCGCCTCCGCGAACCACGGAAATTTCTACCGGGAGTCTAATTCGATCGATGCTTAATCCCCCGGGCTACGAATTGACATTTCCGAAAGTCTGTACACCGATGAAAGCGCACGTCCAAGTTCACTTACCTTAATTACGATTGACTCTGCATTCAGAGGCTCCTGTAACGCACAACGCCGTGCAGGAACCGTGACGCGAACCTCGTTGCTCTAAATAACGATCGGTGCTCTTTTTCGCGATGATGAAAACGCCAACCGGTGATATTATTCGGTATATCTGGGACTAATACGTGTGTTACGCTATCCCTCTATTTGTTCCATCGCTCACAGGATCATGACCAACCACTTAGATCACCTAGAACAGCTCAAACATCGACGTACATTCTAATACAACAATTGGACATGAAATACACTATCAAACATTGTCAAACATAAACCAAATCATGGTATGCATTGTTTGCCAAGTGCATTGGAAGTCTATCAAACATTTCTAAGGTCTAAGCCCATTATTAAACGCAATCAATCATCATCAAACATTCTCAAACCTCAACCATACCTATTTTCCATACATATTGGAATCTCCTCAACCAACTTTCGACTCAAACATCACTGTATCTTCGTACCCCAACTGAACCAACCCAAACAAACATCATCAATCTTCAGACACTTAACCCTATAACCGATCAACTGTATAAATATCGTCCTCCAGCTCAGGTTGATCACTTTCCAGTGACTGACACTAACTTAACTGGAAGTCTGACCCTGACAGAATTAATTTATAACAGAAAGAGAGGTCTCTGATTCCCAACTTCAGTGTTTAGATACTTTTCCTTGCAATCTGTCCACTGTTCAATTATCACGTTCCCTTGATCGCTTCTCCATCACCGGTCTGCACGAGTAGGCATTCCTTTTACGGAGGTTCTCATCTAATTTATAAACGCGCAATTAAATACGCGACTTCTTGCCAAGTGAGAACCAGCCCCGAGCTACTTTCCAGTGGCGAAGTGGTGCAAGTTTGGCTTTTACTTTGCAAATTACTTCCGAGCCATTTCGTGCGCCCACTATCTTTCCGAACATCGCGAGGATAACCCACCGTTTGCATTCCGCCGATTCTAGCAACGTCTTTGTCGGCCGTTTCGCATAGTTATCGCATACCCACAGCAACGACGACTTACGGCACCGTAGACGACGCGACTCTGACCGGAGATTTCACGGCGTTGGCGCTTACGCGTCGTCGCCATCCCCTAAGGTGGTAACTCAACCTCCTGTGAAAGCTGGAGTTTTATGGAAACTTGTTTTGAAGGTGCAATTAGTCTAATAGTAGCCAAATTCTGATATCATTGAGAGGCATTAAAGCAAGGATCCTGGAACTTTTGGACACTAAGAAAGTAGTATAGTTATTTATTTGTAATGAACTTGAGGGTGGCAAGTGTAAAATAACTGTACTTGAGAGCAATATCTAGCCCAGCTCTAGATCATATGTTTCTCCCATACCTAAAACAACATACTAAACCCAACACAATCGAGTTTGACTCTGTTTGATGACTCCTGGAGCTTATGGACTAATTAAAACCGGGGCCTGGCCTCTCGCGAAACCGAAGATTGAGTTTTTTTGTTTCTTAGAAAGAAATTAGCGGGAATAAACAAGCTTGTATTTGCGTTTTCGTAGGATCGTAGCGGGGAATATCGCGAGACTGAAAACTGGACTCGCTTGTTTGCTACGGACCGAACGATGGGAGCAAGTTCGAGCTCGAAATTTGTTTTCTGAGGGAACTGAAGCGCGAATTTTAGCATTCCGTCGGTACGGCTGGTGTACACTTTTTATGGCGATGAAACTGGGTTGAGAAGCAGGTCTTTCCCGGGAAAAAAATTGACTGCACGACGTGCCAGACAATTGGGCTACGAGAACTTTAACAATCGATTGCCCAATATGTGCTCATAATCAACGCGGGGAAAAGTAATCGGCGTTCCGGATCAGTTTCAAATCACGCGGAAAGCTTCGATAAAGAAAGTTAGGGATTAATCGTCTTGGTCTGCGAATGGCTCAGTCGTAGAATCCTGGGGAACGGAGAGGGTCGCGGGGAAGTGCTTTGGGACTTCAACTCGAGCCTACTCCATCACAAACTGCGCTGGTTCTATTGCACCGCTGAGACCGAGGCCAGCTTCCACTTTGCGGCCATTTTACACGGGTAGATTCGCCATTTTCTCAGACGCTTCTGGTCCCTCGGTAGACAAACCGCACCAAACATTAGC